TGTTTCGAAACATCTCATGATTGTAATTTCTATACAAACTACTGGTAGAATATCTTCTATGTAAGTTGTATATAATCTTAAGATTCTTGTCGGTATGACTTCAAGTTTTACGTTTTATGTTATAATAGGTCGTATACACATTTATATAGAGAGTAATATCATATTTTTATTGTTAAGCGTCGACTTATGGTTCAGAAGAGGAAATAGAGCTCTACCGTCTTTATCACACGTTTGAAGGATATGGTGTTCAATGTTAGTCCAACATAATTCCCATATTTAATTATGTCCAACATAATTCCCATATTTAATAAGGGATTACAGTTTCACCATGAGACAAGGGTAGGAATTATTTTAAGGGACTTGTTAAAATGAAAAATTATTTTAATTTTCCACTTGGTGAACAACATTTGAGACTTTATACAATGCTGCTGACTGATCCTTTCATATTTTAAAGTCTGATATATTAATTGAATATCTATGTACAATATAGGTGTTAACACAGAACTTTGAGGTACACCAGCAAGAATGTTTTGTTGGTTGGAATACTCAATATCACATAAGAAACTTTGAAAAACTTTTTGTAAGTAGCTCGGGTAACCAAACTTAATGAGTTTATACATTAACCCATATATGTCATACACTAACCAGTATACATATATAAAAATGAATGTGTGTTTTATTGTATGTATTTTGGACTTTATAGACTGTTAAACGGCTAGACGATTTCCTGAAATTTTCACAGTGTCTTCCTGTATGTCTGGAAGGAACTATAGGCTACTTTTTATTTTAAAATTTCATGTGGCCAAAGTGCCACGTCCACATAAAAACATAATAAGTATTTAAAATCACATATCTCGGAAACTGCAACAGCTAGAGTCCTCAAATTTTGTATGGACAAATTTCCACATCCACATGAACATATGGGGACAAAATGGGAGGAATAGCTATAGTGGGCGTGGCCCCTTCATATAAAGAAATCCTTAAATTAGTATATCTTTAATTAGTATATATAAAGAACACCTTAAATTAGTATATCTTATATTAAATAAAAAATTCGTTTATCTGGGAAACTATTATTATCTAGAATCCTCAAATTTTGCACGAAGAACTTTAACATTCATTTGAACATTTGGGTAATAAATTGGCGGACTAGCAATAGGTGGCATAGCACCTATTAGAGGTAGAATCTTAAAATTAACATAAAAGGAACATTTGGAAGTAAAATGTGCATATGAATGAATATGAATTAAATACAAAAATTTGAATATCTGAGAAACTATTAGAGCTAAAATCCTTAAATTTTGCGCTAACAACTCTGACGTTTGAATCTAGAATCCACAAATTTTGCACGAAGAAATTTCACATTAATGTGGGAGGTACCATACCCCTATTGTGGACTATCAATAGGGGCTATGGTACCTCCAATATGCCTTAAAATAAAAATTCGTATAACTGGAAAACTAATAGAACTAGAATCTTCAAAAATCGTAAAGTGCTGTTTTTATTTATTTTGAGGGTAGCAAAGCACACTGGGTATAGCTAGTTTAATATAAATATAACGATTCGTTCTATTTGAAGTGATCTTTAGAGACAAGGCACCAGTTAATCAATTTTGTTATAAAGGAAAAAATGTTATTACAAATTCAGTTTGAGTAGTGAATACGTCCAAAAACTTTATCTCAAAATAACAATAATTATTACGAAAATTACTTGTGTTTTTATCTATTAACTTCTTTTTTTACACCATATTACAACATATATTTTCCTCCTGAATGTTTGTATTGGCCTAACCAGTCTTCAAAGCTAACATAACTCATGACATCGGTCAAATTGAACCTGATTTATGCACCAATATACGTATAAAACTACATATCAACTTATACCAACTGAGTTAGATGTTATGGATTTTCTTCAATGTCAATATAACTCATGACATCGGTCAAATTCAAGCTACTTTATACGGCAGAATGGAAATTTCAGATGCGCGCCACACAGGTAAGCAGCGTGTGTGGCACGCAATATATTTCATAAAGAATTTTATCGATAGAGCTTACAGATTCATAAAACGATTAATAAATCGTTTCAGTGATATTTCACACACACTTTTATAATATTTTATTATACTTACCAAAGCCGGTCGACGGGCTAATGGCATGGCCAATAATGCAAATGAATGTAAAAAGTGGAATCTATTAGCCGTTTCGAATACAGCTTTTGCTTCCAATTTCTCCTGAATATCATAGATTTTGGCTAAACTATGCTTGCCATAAGCGCCCATAATAACGGCAGTAGCTCCACTTATACCAGCTAAACGCACAAAATGATAGTTCTTGCTAGTTAGATCCCACATAGTTATTGGTTTCGGAGGAGGCAAAACAACAGAGCCTTCAACTTGTTTCGGTTTAATGCCCTAGAAATTTTGGCAAAATTTTTATAAAATATAACCAAGAAAAATTAAAATTGCTTACTGCTCCTTTCAAGACAGCCGAAGCTGAAGTCAGCACAGCCTGACTGATGGGATTACCAACAGTTATGTAAGTTAATGTTTCTCCCCAGGACATTGTTGTTCAGCAAGAAATAAATTTCTTAGACAATTGGTGTTCTGTCGGGAAGCCTCACAAATAAAACGGTAAATAAAGCTGAATTCATACAAGATTGTCTGGCTAAAACAGCTGATTGTTTTTTATACACAAACAGTTGTCGTGATACTGTCAAAATCAATATGTAAAAAATTATCGCTCAGAACTAAGACTGTCAAAACTTATGTATCGAAAAATTAATGAATTCACCTTAATTATTCTGTGTCTCCACTGCCAACTTGTATTAATTCACTTTGGGCAATAATTATAGGGTGTACATATGAATAATTAACCGTATAATTTACGAATGAATAGTTCGAACAATTTTCTTCAGAATAACACAGTGAGACAAAATAAGCGAAAATTGAAATACCTGGGAAGTGATACTATTTTTCTGAAAGGTGGATCCGAGTAGAACGAGAATATGTTTTTGAAATTCACCAAACACCTCCAAAATCTTGAGTTACCGGTAAAAAACTAGTTTTTCGTACCTGTAACCACTTATAAGTCAGTAACTTGGATTTAGAAAGCAGAAGCTGAGGCTTTTATAATGGTGGTATTAGACGACATGTCTTTTACATATGTACTGTCAAAAATTCCATCCGTAAAAGTTGTACATATCGTCTGATACATATGAAACATTGCCTGTGTAAAATACATGTGGAAATACATACATACGTAATTTTTTTGATTAAGGTGCTATTAGACGACATGTATTTTACATACATATGTATGTATGTACTGTCCAAATTTTCATTTGTAAAATTTGTACATATCGTCTGATACATATGAAAAATTGCATGTGTAAAATACATGTAGAAATACATACATATGTATGTAATTTTTTAAAGCGTGCTCTATTTTCTAACATAAACAAATCAGGTTTTTTGTTGTGAAATAAAATTTTTTGAAAAAAAATAATTAAAGAACATGAAAAAGTAAGTATTTTTCAATTTTCAATAAAATAATTTATAATTTTATCAATTTTTGCACATTAAAAAGACAGCTTTGATTACATTTATAGTTTATACGGAAAAACATATGCAGGTGTAATAGCAAAAATTATGAACCTTGTGTAAAATGGCAATTTTGTGTACGTATATTCGAAATTACATATGGATAAAAAAGTGACAGTACATCCCCACAGAAAATTTTCAGAGTATGTACTAGGAATTGTAACCAATGTTGTGTGCTTTACTTTGTGTTACATACAATTTAATTTACTTGTACATACATACATATATAAAATCTGGATATGAAGACTAAATTTTTTTAATATATTTTTTTTGCATTACATCTTAATATACTCGTGATAAACATTGTATATGAGAACAGAAAATTATAAAATATAAAAAAAATCAAGTGTGCTGTAACCCCGTGTCTATATTAGCCAAATATTTATCACGATACTTGACAAAACGTCGGCAGAAAAATTGTTAGTTTTTTGTTTATGTTAATGCATAGGGGTAACAAAATGCTGATTTTATCACGACAACTCACAGATAATTTTATTGAAATAATGATAAATTTTATAAAAACAATTAAAATTAAATGCAAATTTTGAAAATAAACACTAATTTCACTAAAACTTGTGTTAAAAATCAATTTTAATTGCACAAAAACATATTCTAAACAAATTTTACAATAAAACGACGTTTGTTATCAAGACAACGTTGTTTAAACAACTGTTTAAACAACACTGTCATAACGACGTTATAATGCTAATAAATGCCGTCTGCACCTGCTAATTTTTTATCATGATAACAATTTGAAGTTTAGCATAATAAATATTTGTCTAATATAGACATGGGGTAATTTATTGAAGAAAAATTTTTCATTTATTGGAAAATATTTTTTGGATCAACATTTTTCCAATGTTTAGATAAATTTTAAGCAAAATTTATTGCTTAAAATTTGGATCATGATCTAGCGAACGACCTTAAGAGCGGGTTTTTGAGTTGACAATCAAAAGCTAATTAATAATCAGATTAGTTAATCTAAAAACAAACTTAATCCGATGTTAATCCCCTTTGATGTTTTTGAGTACAAGATTAAACTTCGCAGTTTTGCCATACAAAACATCAGAAAACGTCACTGTTTGTTATCAAAGCCATACATGTTTTATAAAAAAGAAGAAGATAATTTTAAATTTAATATGAAAATTAATGAAAACTTAAATTTAAAACAAAAAAATGTATTTTGAAGTCCCCATAATTTATTTATATTAACCAATAAATCAAACATTTTAATGTTTATTTTTATAAACATTTTATTAAATTTTTTGCATCAGCTGTTTACACTTTTGTATTTGTTGCTCAAGTTTAAACCACCTCCATTGGGCGCTTAAACTAGCAAACAAAATTAACTAATTGAGTACTCAAAAACATCCTTCGATGATTAATTTTAATTTAATCGCTAATCTTTCTCCTAAAGATTGGCCCTAAATGAATTTGTAGATACATGTATGTGGATAGCATTTTTAAAAAAATGTATTTCCAAACTTTTTAATACACATGTATGTAAACTAGAAATATGTTGTAGATACTTTGTGATACACTTGTGTTCCAGATGGAAAGGTGTTGTGGAAAGAATTTTACTTACTAGTTATATCGGTAAGAATGTAGGAATAGCTACTTTTCCACACTCAAGTATATTATAAAAATCTACACACAATATCGCAAACCAAGTATATCAGTTAGTGTGTCATTCTGAAGCGGCCATAACCTGTGTAAAATAAGCTAGGATGTGTGTAAGTTTGAAAGCACTTTCGAATTCAAAATAAGCAACACAAAATCGGTATTGTAAGCTATACATTTCCTGTGGGGAAATGTAAAATACATGTCGTCTAATACCACCTTTAATTTGACATACAAAATATTTACGAAATAGTGTAACAGCTGATAAACATATGGTCATTGTTTTGGTTCAATTCGCCTCCGAATATATAACCAAAACATTTATTTTGATTTTTTAAAATTAGTGAATTAAATTCAATTTAATAAAATTAGTTTTTAAAATGAGTGCGTTTGTATTTAAAAGATCTTTTTGTGTATACAACGCATTAAGGGCCAAACAAATACCAAATAATTTAAAAGGAAAAGTAAAAGTTCCCAAGAATGGCTGACAAGACAAATGGCAGATCCATATGTAGAGAAAGCAAAAATGATGAATTATCGTTGTAGGAGTGCCTTCAAACTATTGGAGATTGATGAAAAATATCATATAATTAAGCCAGGAGATACAGTGATCGATTGTGGAGCAGCGCCCGGTAGTTGGACACAAATAGCAGTAGAACGATCAAATGCCAATGGAAAAATGGAAAATAAACCAAAAGGAGCGGTGTTTAGTATGGACTTGTTACATTTTCATGCAGTACCAGTAGGAAGCAATGATTTTATTTATTTTTAAATAAATTTGAAATAAATTTTCATTTTAGGGCGCTACAATATTTGGAGGAATGGATTTTACAAAACCTGAAAATCAATTGCGTTTAAAAACGGCTTTAGATGGACGAAAAGTTAATTGTGTTTTATCGGATATGGCTCCGAATGCTACGGGCGTTAGAATGTTAGATCAAGAAATTATAATTAATCTTTGTTATGACGTTCTGCGCTTTGCCTTGGCCATGTCAGCTCCACAAGCAAATTTTGTTGTTAAAGTTTGGGACAATGGCGATGTACCCAAATTAGAAAAGGATATATTAAGATTCTACGAAAAGGTTAAGCGTGTAAAGCCTCGGGCCAGCAGAGGAGATTCATCGGAGCACTTTTTTGTAGCAAGAGGATTTAAAGGTCTAGAAAATGTCATTAAAGAAGAACAAAAATAAAATTGTAAAAATTTATTCGCAATAGTTTTTTTTAAAATGAAAAATTTACATACACATTTTTTTTTTTAAATTAAGCTTTGCTTTTTACCATAAAATATATGAAAGTTATTACTTGGTTACAGGGGTTCAAACTACCTTTTTGTAATGAGTTAAATGATGTATTAAATTAAACATCCATTTTGGTTGATCAGTTGGAGCCATATGACCAGCATTACGTACCATAATCTCAATTAAATGACCAGCATGTTTTGCATAACCGGCTATCTCATCATCAACTTTCCAAATTTGACGTGGAGCAACCTTGTATATTGCGGCAGCATTAAATTTCAAATGATTTAAATAATTACGTGTCAAGGGGTAAGCAACAATTATATCTAATTGGCCGTTATAAATACAAACAATATAAGTTTCTAATAGTTCTGCAATCCAAGGTGCTACGGTATCCATGACATCTCGCTTTAAGAAGATTTCTACTTTATTTTCAGTATCTAAATCATGGAATGTAAGATTACCCACATGAATTGAACGACGAGTCAAAGAGGATTGCAGAAAATCACCCATGATTTTACCATAATCATCTCCCTTAGTGTGCAAGTAATTATAATAGTAATTGTAGCCAGTTAGATTTGTAAACAGTGAACCATTCACGAGATCGCCGTTTAAGAGATTATCGAAAATGTCAAAGGCACAATCCATATCGTGATTTTCAATGCATTTTACGCCCTGTGCCTCGGCATCGTGGAATTGTTTTAAACCGTGCTCATCAATTAAACCCAATTGATATAAATAGTCTCCATATTTCAACTGATGTATAGGATCTGAAAGTCCATTTCCAATGGCCATACCCTTAAGGGGTATCTTAACTCTGGTGTCAACAGAACTTTGCACTTTGTGAATATGATAGGCCAAGGCTGGAACATATTTGCCGGCATATGATTCACCAGTGATCCAAAAACCGGACACATCACTCCACTCGAACAATTCATACAGTTGTTGCATGGCTTCGTGCAGATTATGGCCTACATCTTTTTCATTACGGGCATAACCATCATCGCTATCGGTAAAAGAAAATCCTGTACCCACTGGATTGTCAATGAATATAAGATTATGAGTTTTACTCCAGGTGTAGTTTCTCTTTTGCAATTTTCCATGAACATCGAATTCAAATGGTCCATTCTCTGTAAAAAGTCCAAATAAGGAGGATGCACCAGGACCACCCTGTAGCCACAAAACTACAGGTGCATAACTAGGTTCTTGCTCAGCCGGAAAGTACCAGAAAAAAAGATTAGAATTAAATTTAGGATCGACCGTTAAAT